CTGAGGAAATAGGGTGGATAAGGTCCTCCTCTTCTTCTTCACACAAACAAGAGATGTGATCTGCAAACGCCAAGAAGGGGCAAAGTCCCATTAGGTGAGGATGGAGATTTGCTTACTTTGTAATCTCAAATATCCTATATGATGGATACTCATCAAACCAGTAAAACATGTAAAATCTGTGAAACCATGCCTCCAATTAAGAGATCACCTGGCTGGTACCATTCATGCTCAACAGGAAACGGATTCATCACCAAGCAATTCAGCGGATTCCCTTTGATCACTGGAAACATCAGAAGAAAGAACATATTTGCAGCACAACGTGTAAAACCTGAGACCGTCCACTGGATTTCAAACATGGACTAGTCCAAATGCACCTCTTGAGTGAAAAGAATCTATCTAAATTTCAACTTCAGCAAGGAGAGAAATGTATATTTCAATGCTGACTAAGAAACTGAAATCTGAACAACAAAAGAAAGCAGAAGAAATGAAGCTGAATAGCATTGTTTTTCTCTTCTTACTATCCCAGATCTCCACAGAACTGGGTTTATCTTTTAACTCATTTCAGACTTGCTTTGTATTTTTCACATCTTTCTGTAAAGCCTTCAGAGGTTTGAGCAGGACTACCGATTATAGTGATTTGCCCAAATCCCGGAAGATTAAATTATCCTTTCTACTTTTTTATCCAGAGTGAAAGTTGGTCCACCTAACTTCCAGTCTTCCATGCTTCATGGAAATAATAAGTGTCAAGTGGTTTAAAGGGTCTCTAAATATGTAAATGGATAGTTGAGAGATGATGATGATGATGATGATGAAGATAGATAGATAGATAGATAGATAGATAGATAGATAGATAGATAGATAGATCAGACATTCAAATAGAGAAACAGATGGATATCAGCCTTTTAGGGTAGGCTAAATCAGGAAAGAGACTCTCAGAACTTTACTTAATTGTTTTAGGGAAGATGGTTGAGAAGGTGGTGGCATTTCAGCTCCTAAAAGGCAAAATCTATCCACCACTTCGATATCAGGTTTATCGATTCTAAGGCTGGGTGCTTCATGTGTTGTGATTAATTTGGTCTTCTTTACATATTTAATCAGAACCCCATTTCTAAAAGAAATTGCCAGGTTACAGATCAGGCATATATAATAATCAGGCCTTCATTTTCTTCCCACTGAAATGACTCTTTAACTTAGCTTAAATTAGGAGCTAGCCCCCTGCCCCAAAGTTATGCAGAGAGCTCTCAAAATGGACTGTTAATTTAAACTTGGGTCCATCATTTATTGGCAAACAAACAAACAAATAAATAAACAAATAAATAACTGAGCCTTACATGGAGATTTTCCTTCACTGGTTGAGCATGACAGATAAATCTATTTTAAACATTACACTTCCCAATGAAAAGAAAAAGATGAATAGGTGCAACAAATATTTTTTCCTTCCTCTGTGGTTGCATTGTGCTTACCATAGTTTAATACCAGTCGTAATATATCGGTGCCTGAATGCAGTTAATTGGATTTTAATTAGATTTTATTCAGGTTTCATGTTTTGCTATATGCCTCCTTCAAAGGTCTCCCTTATCCCAAGAAGCATAAGCATTTACATAAAACTAAATCCACTTTTGCTTGTTGCAATGATTACACAGAGAGGTGAGCTTGAAGGAAGACAAATTCAGCTTAAAAAAAAGAAAAAAGAAAGAAAGAAAGATTTACTCAATGCAATCTCTGCCTTTTTGTTCATGGCATTCTGACTCTTGATGCTCAGCGGAGTGTTGTACAAATGATTTGAGGTATGGAGCTGGCCTTGCATTGGTGTGACATAACAGTCTCTTTACCAGTGGTGTCCACAAGAAGAGTCTGCATTTTCCTCTCTTCAAGGAAGTGAAATATTGCATCTGTGTGAGTTTCTCCTTTCCCCTCATCTTGCATATCTGGGTGCACATGCTCACTGGCTGGCATAGGGATGGCAGCCCATTGTCCTACTCAATCTTTCATCACTTTCCCATCACAGCAACCTTGAACTCCTTCTGTTCTTTTGAGCTTTCAGGGATGTTCTTCTGAAGAACCGATAGACAGGATCCTATACCTGCTTGGCCCATGTTTCTCCACTATTCCAAGAAAAGATTCTATGCCCACTCCCACAAAGAGAAAACTAAACTTCAGTCAGGGTATATATACACCCAGAGGAACACTCACAATTTTTTCCCTAGGTAATTTCATCTTAGTGGACATACTCTGTATAAGAGAGGATTGTATATATTTTATTATGATTTGGGCCAAATCCCACAACTCTAACATCAAACCAAATGAAATCCATCTTTATTATGGTCATTGGCCAACATACACTTCTAATAAAGGATGAGGCAGAAGGAAGGATACATTTCATTTCATTTCACTAAATTTTCAATATGATTAAAAACTGATAATAGGTTACAGGAGAAATAGAATGACAGACAGAAGTGAATGGTTATGACTCAGCATGAAACCTTCTTTACAATACATTTATATCTACAGGTTTCAGAAGCTGTGTAAATTTTACATTTCAAAGAACCCTAACCAATCCAACACTGATACCCTATGATTGTAAGGTTCGCTGCATTCGGCACTGGAAATAACCCTCGCGAGACATGGACTTGAATGAAAGCTAGTTTCCTCAGGCGTAATGCGTAGCGGTTACAGACAAAGCCAGGTTTGGCTTGGTGCATTTCTTAGTGTTTTATAGGGTCCCCCTTGACCCGTAATACCCCTGGGTCCCGCCCCTGCCCTTGTCCCGGGTCACCCCTCTGCTTGTCGTGATCCCCCTCCCCTCTCTGTAATGGCAGATTCAGTCAGGTTTCATTGTCCTCATGATCGTCATCGTTTG